CGTGTTTGGTGCTAATTAGCAAATGTTAGCATGCTAACATGCTAAACTAAGATGGAAAAGCTGCATAACATTAGCATGTTAGCATTGTTCTTGTCAATATGTTAGCATGCTGCGTTTAGCATTTAGCTGCATGAGTACAGCCTCAAACTATAGTGAATCTTAGATGCTACCTCTAATACAATAATTAAATCATTAAACTGTCTATAAAGACTAAAGCTATGTTCAATATGTAGTTCAGCTATGTACTGACATTATCCCAAATGTTTACAACAATGTTCAAACTCAGCGAAATCTGTCATTGTATTCAGTTAACACTGTTTGAAGCCACATTTTTACCATCCACTGTTTAGGTCTTGGTGCTTTTTAACTCTAGATTTGAACTGGATGAAGGATTTTAGTCATTGGACTTCTGGATCTTAAGTTATCAGAAAAACAAGCTGAGCTAAGGGACATCCTTTGTCTTGAGAGATTACATATTGTACCTTTAAATGCCCAATTGAAAGTCCCTAAAAACATCTAAAAATGAATAGTCTTAGGGGATTTATCAGAAGAATTATAATCAGGAATTATTGTAGGCGCCACAGCCACCCAAAATGTATTTGTATCTGAGTGGGTGGCAGCTGAAATTAGAGGTGTGTTCTAGCTAAAGTTGAAATTGTGTGGGCCGTAGTGATGTTTGGTAACACTCTGGAGACCCTGGAATACTGAGAGCTTTTAAATGTTCCCAGACGACGGCTATGAAAAACACTGGAGTATTTTTAACCAGGGATAGGTTATTTCATATGTTGATTGAAAATAGCTTTAAAACAAATTTCAGCTACCTGCCCTAAACATGTGGATGAAGCTTTTTGTCCGTACGACAAGAGGCTGCAGATGGTCTGGTGGTCTCTGGAGGTCATTTCACATTGTGTTGTCAGCTTATCAGTACTGAAGGTATTTTATACTATGTAAACCAGAACTGAAAGACAAGACACGAAACCATGGAGTGAGGGAGTGTTTTTCCAGCTTGAAATAAGTCAACAGTGGTCTCACACTGAATCACATCCTACTGTTCATGAAAGTGGTAGAGAATCATAACTAGCCTTTTTTTTTAACTTTTGAAGGGGTAAATACAAATCAGGTGGCACAAAAGTGTTGGCTAAATAAACCAATGACAGCATTATAATGAAGTAGTGTAGTTCTGGTCAACAAATCTTGTGTGTCAAGATTTAAGAGAACATGTTTATTACTGTGGTAACAGTAACAGTCTGGGATACAGGGAGATTTTCAGTGTGTTACCTCATGAGAGGAGGATCCTTAGGGATAATGAAAGCTCATTTCTAATATCTAAGACTTCTTAGATCATCGTATTTTGCTAGCTAGCTAATCTAGCTGAATCATATCGCAATATCTCCTAAAATAATTGCAATATAATGTTTTTACCATATAGTGCAGCCCTAACCGAGAGGAAAATATATCTCAGAGGACCTTGGGAGTCAATATAGATTGAGGACTAAATTAGGTCATACAGGTCATACTAATTGTGTTTTCTCAGCAGTGACCTTTGACTCTTTCTGATGTGACAGTGTGAGCTTTACTTCATCAGTTCAGTGTCATTTACTGTACAGTATCTGTATACTATATATATAATAAGAATATTCTTCCATAATAGAAGAATTATCATAATATTATATTATAGAAAAATATTCTTCTATAATAGAATAATTATTATAATATTCTTCTATAATAATCTTATAATAATATTATTTAATATTATTATAAGATTATATAATATAATCTTATAATAATATATTATATAATATCATTATATTATATAATGTTTTTAGTATTTGTAGCATTTTTCTTTGGCATTTGTTTTGTGGGTTTGTAAGTTTGTGCTTCTGCTCCGTTTCTCTGATTGCAGCATTTTTCTGTTGCTGCGTTTTTCTTTTGCATTTGTTTTTATGTGTTTGTGTGTTTTTGGTTTTCCATCATTCCCGTGTTTGCAGCGTTTTGCCGTTTGCGGCGCATTTGCCCTTGTTGGCCACCGTAATTAATGGTTATCAAAATGTATAATTATCAAAAGATAATAGAAAATGACTTGAATTAATATTAAAGATCCACGGGGCACCACCTTTAAATAAGGGAAACGATAGCCAACAATTGATTGATCAGTCTCGTAAAAATACAGATTAATAATTAAATTAATAACTACAACCAAAATCATTATTAAAAGCTAAAGTGGGAGCTTTGAGTTCTACATAGAAGAGGTTGGTATCACTTACTCTTGTACGAAATTAAATAGGCCAGTATATATAAACACAAGCATTTATTAAAGAGATCAATTTAAAGCAAACAGAGGAAAATACACTATATACAATCTAACTTAAAGGAACTGAGCTAGAGGAAAAAGGCGAGTGTGTGTGTGTGCATGTGTGCGTGTGTGTGTGTGTGTGTGTGTGTGTGTGCGTGTGTGCATGGGGTTTGCGCACCAGAAAAGGTGTGTGTCCTTTGTCCTCTGACCAGATGTTTCAGGGTATGAAACACGTGTCGGTGAGAGCAATAGAGAAGCGGGAGGGTTTGAATCCCTCTCCTTGTGTATGTGCTGAGGTTTAGGCCGAATATGTGTGTGTGTGATCTTAGATTAACGGTGCCGTTAAAAAGGGAGTTAGTTGCATGCAAAGACGGTGTCTGTGTGAAGCATAACATTAAACTAACATCACCTTAGCACTGTCTGAAAGACTACAGTTACTACAGTAACCTGACAATAAGCTGAATAAAACACATCAGTAACATTAACAGTAATTAAACAGTCCTTGTTTAGCCGTTAACTCTGTTAAGTTATCTATCTATGCCCAGTATGTTACCAACAGTCCAAAGGAAGATGAAGAAGAGTTGGGGGTGAGCTGCGTGGGTCGGCTGGAGGTCCTGTGAGCCAGGCTGATCAGAGTTGTGGTTCTAAAGTCCAAACTGTCTCTTGAATAGCCAGGATGACAGGTCTGGGGTCCGAGGGAATCTGACCAATGAAGGGCCGGTGTTTGGGCGTTTATTGCTTTCATGCCACACCTTGGCTGCATTCTTGGCCCCCTGCTGAGGGGTCTGTTATCTGGCAGGCCCCTTTTCCTTTGTCTTTAGTCACTACAAGCAGGCTTTATTGCTTACATAGTCCGACTGTAGTAATGACAATTTCTTTGTGGCCAGATTCCAACATGTTCCCTTTGGTCCAGTTAAACACTTCAAATGAACAATTGCATGTTTAAAGGTATCCTTGGATCCCAACAGTTAATAATATCTCACTGTAGCAGTTACAGACATACTGCGTACACACACAACATGGCTGACTGGAGATCTCATTACTTCACAGGTCTGAAATCAGCTCTTGGTGGAACTACATTTTTCTTCTATTTTCTCTCTAATAGTGTGAAAAGAAAAGAAAATGATATTGTGCACGTGTGCTTGTCATGCAGATCACCTCTCACAGTGCTGAAGTAGCTGAGGGACAGTATTTCAGCAGCTCACAGGTTCAGATAAATAGGTTTCTCTCTTCACAGCTCCCCTTACAGCCTCTTTGACCTGCTTGTTCCTTTCAAAAACACACATCATGTGGCTCTTGTCAAAATCAATCGTTTGAAAACATATATCCCCTCATTATTCCAGCAGCTGGGTATGTTTTGTGAGATGTTTTATGATAAAATTATTACTATTAGAGACAAAATTAATAACCAAATGCCCTCAACAGGTATCACTGTCTCTCCAAGTTCAGGAACTTTAACCAATGTAAGATTAGATATATATTTAGAATGTTTTTCTGCTATCGATCTTCATCAGTTAACTTCAATAATTTCTACATCGAAGCCATCAACCTGTCTGTTAGACCCAATCCCAACTAGGCTGCTTAAAGAAGTCATACCCTTAATTGGCACTTCTTTACTGGATATGATTAATCTTTCTTTTTTGCCAGGATATGTACCGCAGTCCTTTAAAGTAGCTGTAATAAAACCCCTTCTTAAAAAGCCCACTCTTGACCCAGGCGTTTTAGCCAACTATAGACCGATTTCTAACCTCCCCTTCTCCCCTAAATTCTGGAGAAAGTAGTTGCCAAGCAGTTATGTGACTTTCTACATAGCAATAGCTTATTTGAGGCACAGCACAGCACAGAGACAGCACTGGTTAAAGTTAATAACAACCTTTTAATTGCTTCTGACAATGGACTTGTCTCTGTACTTGTATTACTAGATCTTAGTACCAAATTTGACACCATTGACTATAATATTCTTTTAAAGAGACTTGAGCATCAAATTGTCATTAAAGGAACCACTTGTTTAAGTCATACTTATCAGATCGTTCTCAGTTTGTACACGTTAACAATGAATCTTCCAAAAATACTAAAGTTAGTCATGGAGTTCCACAAGGTTCTGTGCTTGGAACAATTCTATTCACTTTATATATGCTTCCCTTAGGCAATATTATTAGGAATCACTCCATTAACTTTTACTGTTATGCAGATGATACCCAGTTATACCTGTCAATCAAGCCCAATGAAATTAATCAGTTATCTAAGTTACAAAAATGTCTTGAGGACATAAAAATCTGGATGAGCTGCAATTTTCTGATGCTAAACTCAGAAAAAAACGAAATTCTTGTACTTGGCCCCAAACACCTCCGAGACATGCTGTCTAAATATATAGTTACTCTAGATGGCATTACCTTGGCCTCTAGCACCACTGTCAGGAATCTTGGAGTTATCTTTGATCAGGACATGTCCTTTAATTCCCACATAAAGCAAACCTCTAGGACTGCCTTTTTTCATCAACGCAATTTTACAAAAATTAGACACATCCTGTCACAGTATATACCATAGTATCTAAAAGTAGAACAGGAGCCAGAGCCTTCAGTTACGAAGCTCCTCTCTTGTGGAACCAGCTCCCAGTTTTGGTTTGGGAGGCAGACACCCTCTCTACATTTAAGAATAGGCTTAAGACATTCCTCTTTGATAATGCTTATAGTTAGGGCTGGCTCAGGTGAGTCCTGAACCATCCCTTAGTTATGCTGCTATAGGCCTAGACTATCGGGGGATTTCCCATGGTGCACTGAGCTCCTCTCTTCCTCTCTCTCTCTTTCTGCACTCTTTCATGTTCCATTAATGCATGTTACTAACTTCACTTCTTCCCCGGAGTTCTTGTGCTTTCTCGTCTTGCAGGTTCTCATGGATCCTGGTGGAGCCTCCTGCCATGGTCCTGCTTGACTCCCATTGCTAATATCACTGATATTATTGTTATTATTATTATTAATATTATTATTACTACAGTTACTATTATTACTATAATCACTCATTGTCCCCCATCAGTGTTGTCGTCGCCGTCGTCATCATCTTCTTCTTCATGTTCATCATCATCAGTCACTACTATTAGTGTAGTTGTTGCTACTGTTGTTGCTGTGCACCTCTGTCTCTGTCCTTCTGTCGTTACCTCTGTTCTCTCTCCCTCTCTCTCTCTCTCTGTCTCTCTCTCTCAACCTAACTGGTCGAGGCAGACGACCACCTAGAGCCGAGGTCTATCTGAGGTTTCTGTCTCTTAAAAGGAAGTGTTTCCTTGCCGCCGTCGCCGGTGCTTGCTCATGGTGGGAACTGTTGGGTCTCTGTCAATAATGTTATTAGTAGTATGGTCTAGACCTGCTCTATTTGAAAAGTGTCCTGAGATAACTTCTGCTATGAATTGGCGCTATACAAATGAAATTGAACTGAATTGATTTGAATAGATATCCGATTTGAACTACAGCATGGAATTACAGCCAACTCAAATATCAATATATATATATATATATTGATATTTGAATTTCCATGTGCTGGCTGGACATCCACTGACTCATTCTTTGATCTTTAACCACTCTATATCAAGTCTTCAAGGACAGAGACACATTCACACCTCTCCTTTTCTTCAACTCAGTACAGGTTTAAACACAGTGTACACACAGCTATAGCCACACATTAAACACAAAGATATGTGGTAAAGAGAGGACACAGACAAAGGTGCACACAGCAACAATGATAACAACTATCCTTGTAGAAATGACTAATGATTATGAGAATGATGACGACAATGACAATAGCCACAATGATGGGAAATAATAATAATAATAATAATAATAATAATAATTAATAAGAATAAGGATAAGAATATCAGTAATATCCAGGTGTCCGTGACTAAAATCCTTCATCCGGTTCAAATCTAGAGTGGAAAAGCACCAAGATCTAAACAGTGGATGGTAAAAATGTGGCTTCAACCCATTGACAGTATATATAATGGACAGAGCTTTGGGGTCTGAAAAGTGAAGCCAACACGAAAGTGCCTTAAAACCTGCATTCTATGTAAATTCGAGCAGGCTGGCTGCTTGGCTGCAATAACACATTCACACAATCCCATTCAATTTAATGGAGAATGAGCCGACTTGACACTGAATTTATGAGCTCAGTAAACAGTTTCCTGATAAGTTTAGGGTCTCAGTCGCTAGTTTAACATCTTCTTCAATTCATTATGATGTTCATTTAGTAAATAATGGTCCCATTTAAAGTAAAATAGACGATAAAGTCACGTTTGCTTTTGGCCGTGGCTACCTTTTAATTGACAATTCTCAGAGTCTGTCCAGCGCAGCACACCAAACTCCGATCAAACTGTCAAACTAGGCAGTGCTGATCAAATATGAAGCTAGATTCTCTTACATTGTTGACTACCTCTCGCTTAAAATCATTTCAGAACATATTTTAGTGTACTGTTGTTGCTGCTGTATTATGAGATTGTGTGTGACCAGGCGAGCTGCCATTTTTTCCGGCTACGGACGAGGCAAAACTACACAGTCAATGAGCACATAGGTTTCGCACTTGCTTCAAATTGGATAAAAAGTCAATGTATAATAGCTTCTGGCAGACAACCACAATGCTGACACATGCACAAAAGGGATATGACACCATGGGCGGCTTTGGCTCAGAGGCAGAGCGGGTTGTTCCCTAATCGGAAGGTTGTTGGTTCGATCCCTGGCTCCTCCTGTCACTTGTCGAAGTATCCTTGAGCAAGATACTCTCTAATTGCTCCCGATGCACAGCGTCAGTGTGTGAATGTGTATGAATGAGTTAGTTTCTGTTCGATGGACTTTGCCATGGCTGTGTGAATGTGGCTCGTAGTGTGAAAGCGATTTGAGTGGTCGGAAGACTAGAAAGGCGCTATACAAGTACAGGTCCATTTACCATTGACAGGCGACGGGTGAAACACAGCATTACCTGAATAAAATGGCAGATTTCTCTGGGTGAACATTGTGGAAACATGCGGAAATGACATATTATAGCTTTAATCTACGATTCTAAGACAAGAATACACACACACACACTCTTCTTTCCTATTAAGCTAAATAACCCATTTTAAGGCGCTAGTAACTTAAAGCCTGGTGATGGTTCATTTGACCAAATGAGTTATGGGCTTGTCATTAGCTTCCGAGGCTGGTAACTACCATGTCTCAGCTAGCAACCCACTAGATCAGCAGCTGGCTTGGTTGGTTATAGGCTAACAATGTGTCTACAGTTGGTGGCAATAACGCACAGCATTTTCCTTAAATTTGCCATCAAAATACAAAAACAGAAAGTGACCAGCCAAATCAGTAGCTAATCTAGCTAGCCTCGGTGTACTAGTATCCAAGAGAGTAAAAAATCCTCTTTTCAAGCAGTAATCTCGTTTTAAGACGATACATCTAACTTTGTCTTAATAAGATATTACACTAATATTGAGCCAGATTTAACCAGTAACAAGTTACATGTTAGTTAAAAATGGTTTGCATAATATCCCAGGAGAGGAACAATATTATTTTCCTTATTATAAGAGTAAGACCACTTGCAAAACTTAGTTTAAGAGAAAGTAGTCTTGTCCCAGTGTTGGAAATGAAAAATTAATGAAGAATGCTTTTTTTTGGAGCTGTGGCTCCAGTGGGTTGCTAGCTCGAGGTGTGCTAATAAGAAGCCATGACGTGCAGCCTCAGAAGCTAATGACAGCCCATACCTTTGTAGAATGAATAGTTCTCATTTCCTACCGCCCGCCTCTCAGTTACCAGCCTCGGCTTATCATTGGCGGTAGATGGTTGGTTGCTTAGATCAATAGATGGCTTCAGCAAGAATATAGCCTCTGCTGCCTTCTCATTAGTCTTAATTATTTCCGTTATAGCAATCAAACTCAGCAATCAGATCCCATCCAGCTAGGATACAAATTTTTCAATAGTTGTAATGAACCCACATATTCTGTCCAAATGTGAACAAGATGTTTGGAATCATTTTAGGTTCAATGTATTTGCATGCTTAGTGGCTTTGAGTGTTACCTTATGCTTGTGTGGCCGTGTCTCCAAAGTGTGTTAGAGTTTAATCATTAAAAATACAAACCAGTTCACCAGCTGCTGCATCACATTTTCAGGTCCCAGCTTAAATTGGAATAAATCAATGTGCTGCTTTTAAATTGAAAATATTCACATTTATTCAATTTATTATGCTCTCCTAGCTTATTCATCCATCTAATTTATTGGTGCATTTGCTCTGTTTGGGGGAAAGACTACTGATTACCGAAATCACTAGAGGTGTGCATGAATGAAAGTTGGCAGGTACTTTAAAACAAAGTTAAAGCTGCAGTAGGTAACTTTTATGTAAATAACTTTTTGTCATATTTGCCAAAACATTCTCTAAATCCTGACAGTAGTACAAGAGACTAATAACCTATGAAAAAAGTTTCGAGTTCCTCTGTCTCATCCGAGTGCTCCTAATGGCATTTGCATGGTTGGTGGCTTGAATCTTTGGCACCCAAAGCGTCGGTATTTGACAACCTGGGAATGAGACTCAAAAATCAACTATCTTTCTTGCTCTGATTGGTTGTTTTTGTTCAGACCCAGTGGAATATTGCAAATGCCATCCTTTCTTCTCTCTGTTTCTATTTGGCCACACATTTTAAATATTTGTGGGTGGAAACAGTCATCAAAGCAGCACAGATTTGTTTTCTTCTTTTCATTTTTCCAGAGGTAGGGAGGAAAACATAAACTCTTTGACTTGAAACCGCCAAAACATTTACACTTGAGGACTCTTTATAAGAGAGTTCAGGCAGACACATCAGCATGCAGTCATGCATATAATATCTCAGATATAGTGGATTGCAAAAAAGCCAGCAGCACACCTCTTGGGAGATTTTAATAAGAGGAAGCGGACGGTCAGGGAGGCTCTGAGTTTCACAGAAGACACAAATCTGAATGAGAGGAAATCCTTTTGAAGCATTGAGGAACAGGAACGTGAAAGCCTAAGAAGATGGGATTTCCCAGTGGCAGAGAATTGAAAATACATCAATTTCTTATTAGTTATTTTAGTTGTAAATAATTACTTGTTGACCAATCAAACCTGCACACATTGTGCACACATTAAGTTTATTTGTGGGCTTACTTTAAAGCTGCAGTAGTTAATCATTTGTCATATTTGCTTAAACTTTCACTATATCCCAACAGTAGTACATGAGGCACATAATCTGTGAAAAAATCAGGTACCTCTGGCTCCTCCTAGTTCTCCATTTACAAGATTCCCCGAAGGTCTGAACAAAAACAACCAATGGAATGACCCCAGGTGGTCAAATACCGACGCTTTAGGAATGAACAATCAACTATCTTTAAGTCCCCAACCCAAAGATTCAGTATTTGATGACCTGGGACTATTTTACTCTGACTGGTTATTTTTCGTTCAGGCCCAGTTGATTCTTGTAAATGCCATTAGTTGCACCAGGCAAGAGGAAGTAATACAAGGTGATTTTTTTCACAGATTATCTGTCTCATGTACAGCTGTCAGGATATAGTGAAAGTTTCAGCAAATATGACAAAAAGTTATTTTTATAAAAGTTACTTACTGAAGCTTTAATGAACTTATGCTGGAAGATTTATAAGATAGCAAGATGATTATTTAACCTGACAAAAAAGGCAATACAAATTCTATCTGCGTGAGTTTGATAAACACTGAAACATGTAGCTGGAGTCATTATTATATCATAGTTATTAAAAAACAAAATGGAGAATCAGAATTCAGATAATAATAATTTATTATAATCAAAGAAGTGCATCAATATGACCAACCAGAAAAAATATTCCCTCCAGCTTCACTATAGCCTATATTCAGATTAAAGAATCATCTGAGTAACACATGCATTGGCACCAAGTACGGTTGGCAAGTGTTGAAACTTGCATAGAACAGAAGTGCAATGTGAATCTTTGTGTTACTAAGCATATTCAGTCAACCACTGTACTTAAAGAGGCCAAAAACATGAAAAAATTAGGGACCTTGCCAGCAGCCCCATGTCTTGAGGACACAAATCAAGCAGAGGGTCTGGGAGTCCTCCCTCGTGACATTTTGAGTGTCAGACACTTCATTACCTGCATTCTGGTTAATTTTAATGCACAAATTTGTGCTTATTATGCATCAATTTGAAATTTTCTGCTACTCTCAACATTAATGGCAAGGAAATGAGTCAATAAGAGTAAAGCACAGTTACTGTATATTAAGGATCAAAACATCAGATAACAGACATGGGCAACATTTTTGGTCTGTCTCAATAACTCACTGATAAACTCGGTGGATGACTGAACAATACATGTCTTAGCGAAAATAAAACTGATCAGAACAACTCCTGGGATGTAGGCATTGAAATAAAGATTAATCTGTTCCAGAGTGAGGGAAATCAGGTCGGACAGTCCACCATGGGGGACAGAAAATGGCAAACTGTACAGTTTCTGTAACTGGGGCAACTGACGATGAGTGAGAGTGCGTGTTATTTTCTTCCACAAATTCTGATTTAAAAGACCAGTGTGTAGGATTTAGTGGCATCTAGCAGTGAAGTTGCAGACTGCAATACCCTGACTTCAGGCTCCCCTTTGAAGGAGAAACTATAGTGAAATGTGGGAATAATGCAAACACCCCTATCTAGAGACAGTGTTTGGTTTGTCCCTTCTGGGCTACTGTAGAAATATGGTGGTTCAACATGGCTGACTCCACCAGAAGAGGACCATCTCCCTCTGTAGATACAACAGCTCATTCTAAGGTAACAAAAACACAATGATTCGTATTTCCAGATGATTATACACTAATGAAAACATACGTATGAAAATTATATTCCATTTCAGACAATAGATCCTCCTGAATGTTACACACTGGACCTTTAATATTTCTCAACTATGTCTCGTGAGATTCTTTTTGTTTTATTACTTCTCATGTCATTCCAAGCATGTGAAAATGTAGTAATAATGTAGGGTGTGTACGAAAATACAGGACAAATTGTGTCCCATGTTGATTTAGTAAGGGACAGTGCATTTTATTCAATACAGGGATGGGTGGCTCTGATTGGTTGTTTTTTAAGGAGGAGCCAGAGGAACCTGTTTTTTTCACAGATTACCTGTCTTATGTACTACTGTCAGGATTTATTGAAAGTTTCAGAAAATATGCCAAAAAGTTATTTTTATAAAAGTTACCTACTGCAGCTTTAAGATATACAAGTTAAAAACTGGGGTGACCTGATAACACCTCAGCATAAACAGTAGCGCTGCTGTTTTACATTAGCTAAGGTACAGAGAATAAAGAACATATCCCGCTGATAGATGGGTGCTTTTAACATATTCATACCTTCCTGGCTTTGTTGAGACGGGATACACATTGTGGATTTATCAGCATTCACAAAGCACAAGCACAGATGTTTGGGTCACATTTTTCAGGGAATGGAGGCTGACTTTGATCCGTCTGCCAGGGTTTTGTCACGGTCACCCCAGGGTTTTGTCACGGTCACCCCTCCCCTCCCCAACCGCCTACCCTTTCATTCATGGGTCCACAGATACCACTGTGCACCATGAAATGCTTGTGGTCAGCGCGACTGACCTCACCTGCTGCAAAGACATGATGTATATATGATAATACTGCTGTACTAATCTGAACAGGGACTGTACAGGACTGTACCACTTGTACGTACTATACTACTAACTAAGCCACAGCAGAAAAGTCTGTATGGAACCCGGGTTGGATGTGTCCATGAGAGCTGTCCACACACACACAAGAAAGTTGGTATTTATCAAATGTGATGAAACAGGCTTAACACCCCCAAAATGTCATACACAGACATTATAGATAGTGTGACTGGGGTAATGCTAAATGCACTTCAATTAATCAATTTTGGCATCTATTCAGAATGGATTTTAACATTGCCTATGCTGGTCAGTGATTTTAGTCCAATCTGGAGAGTGTACGTGGGTACTTTTCCACCAGTAATAAATACCTGCTGTTTTTCTGTGAACTGGCTGCTCCTCCTGTAATTTAAATCCCATCTGGAGCGACGTCCTTGCATTATAAAGCCAAGTTTTTTTTCCGTATGAAGAAGTTTGTCCTTTTACTTTTTAAAATAAGCTCAGTGTGAAATTTGACATTTGTGTGAAAATTGAGGAAGTGAAAGTCTAATATGGTGGAAACATGCTAACACCAGAATGCAGGCCTATTTGGGAACCAATAAGAAAAACTGCCACCAGTAGAACAAGAACCTGTAAAAGCTCCAGCTACAGGTAGTGGTATTGTCTTTTGAGCCCCGTTTGTTTAATTAAGGCAATTTGGCACTATTAAAAGTAGGGATGCACGATAACTTTTTTTTAAAACCGATACCGATAACCGATAACTTTCAGCTCCTAAAGGCCGATACCGATACCCGATAACACACACACACACACACACACACATATATATATGATCATCACCTAAGATCATGACATTAATACAATGAACAAACCCAAAAACACTTTTGACTCTTTAAATGTTGATATTTTTTTTTTCCAATGAAAAACTATTGGCAAGCCTCTAAAAAAATAAAGGCCCCTTGAACTGATACAAATACATGCATCGGGATTACAAACGGAAAAAGTGCATTCCAGAAGTTCAAAAAAATTAATATATATAGAAAATTGATGCACTGGCACAAGTTAGATTCAAACATTTCAACACAATCTGAAAAAAGTGCATTCCTGAATAACAATAAATAAAATGTGCATAATGCACTGACGCAAGTTACACTTGTCTGTGTAAACAAACTGAAAAAGTGCATTCATAGTAACAAAAAATTAAGTTTAAATTATTTTGGCTTATGGTTCCATTCAAATGAATACCTTTTCACTAAAGTAAATGAGGTTCAGTTGTTTTATCGAGAGAGAGAGAGAGAGAGAGAGAGAGAGAGAGACTCAGGTTTGACGTATTGAAGCTCATGCTACTTTAACCTCCTCGTGGAACTTGGTTGGAACATTTGTTACAAATAACAAGCGACCCGTCTTCTTCAGAAAATTTTGAAAAAGTCCCACACAGTCGACACCATGTTGTCTGTTTTCAAACGTAAGCACGCTGTGCTGCATTCACAGTGTTATGGTAATTCCCTGTTCCCACGTTTGCTAGTCGTTCTTTCGGCCTTTTTAAGTTCATGTTTCTATTGTTTATGTGTAACATGTGGAAAAATACTGTGGATATCCAGTTGTGGTTCGGGAGGCAGACACCCTCACCACATTCAAGAGTAGGCTTAAGACATTCCTCTTTGATAAAGCTTATAGTTAGGGTTGGATCAGGTGAGTCCTGAACCATCCCTTAGTTATGCTGCTATAGGCCTAGACTATCGGGGGATTTCCCATGGTGCACTGAGCTACTCTCTTCCTCTCTCTTTCTGCACTCATTCATGTCCCATTAATGCATGTTACTAACTCCACTTCTTCCCCGGAGTTCTTGTGCTTTCTCGTCTCGCAGGTTCTCATGGATCCTGGTGGAGCCTCCTGCCATGGTCCTGCTAGACTGCCATTGCCAATACTGTTGTTGCTGTGCACCTGTCTGTCTGTCTGTTGCTCTCTCTCTCTCTCTCTCTCTCTCTCTCTCTCTCTCTCTCACCCCAACTGGTCGAGACAGACGACCACCCACCTAGAGCCGGAGGATCTGTCCTAGGTTTCTGCCTTTTAACAGGCAGTTTTTCCTTGCCCTTGTCGCCAAGTGCTTGCTCATGGTGGTACTGTTGGGTCTCTGTAATTAATGTTAAAGAGTTCGGTCTAGACCTGCTCTATTTGAAAAGTGTCCTGAGATAACTTCTGTTATGAATTGGCGCTATACAAATAAAATTGAATTGAATTGAATATCAATTCAAGTCAGCAACTACCAAATTATGACCGAGTTAACGAGTTCTTTTCGACATGAGGGGGTATTCTTGAATTTTCCCAGTCAGAAAGAGTTTTTCTGATTATGCCAATGTCACTTGAACGCAGCATTCACTGCAGGACATTCAGGTCTCATAGTGGGAGCGGGGCACTGCCGTGCTGACAAAGTTATATATGTTATCGGGGCTATTCGTCATGATATCGGACTTATCGGAATGACGTAATAATTTCCTGTTATCTGCCCGATAACTATCGTGTACCCCTAATTAAAAATACTAGTGCAGTGCCCGTAGGAAGTATGTATTGCTATAGAAAAGTGTGAGGTTAAGTAGCTTTTTCATGGATGGCCAAATGAGGTTGTGTTTGAAGGTGGGACGTCAGGGACATTTAGGACATATTATTTAGTCCTGTAATATAGGCCAGCATACATCAGAGAGAGAGAGAGAGGGAGAGAGAGAGAGAGATTCGGGGATCCAGCGCCAATTCTCCGCACCCTCCTCTGTGTGAAAGACTCAGATGCGGCGAGGGGGGAAATGTCGCTCCGTCCCTGATCCTACCTCCAGAGGAGGATCAGGGACGGAGCATTATTTTTGAACCGCCTACAGTGTGAACGGATAAGCCGACGGCGCGGAGCGAGGGCGTGTCAGTCAGACAGTCTGATAACTGCACAGGTCTCTCACTCAACTTAATAAAGAGAAATGTCCCACAAAGCAACGTTACAGGACCAAACAACAGTAACGTAGTAACTGTAACTGTCTTTGGAAACTTATATGAGGAAAAAAAATACCACAGCTGTACGTGGAGAAGCATCTGTCCTCCTGTCTGTCCTCCCGCCTGTCCTACCGACTCTTCGTCACATTTTTGCCCGAAAAACAGTGTCTGTCACTGGGGAAAACTCACAGAGTGTCAAAACATTCTCCGTGTTGCGAGTGAGGGAGTCAGTTTACTGCTGGTGATTATTATGTAATAATTGTGTAATTTAGAGTGGAAAACGTAACTTTGTCACTTTCCAGGATGTTTGGTGGGTCAGGATCTCAATCACTACACATTATAACAGCATCCATATGATTATAAAGTGTCCGCGGGTTTAGATTGACGAGGGGAGACAACTGGGAAACACCTTCAACACGGGCTCTGCAGTGATTGGCTCTGGTGCGCACGTGGCTACGGTGGCTATCGTTGGCAATGCTAGCGGAATTTGGAAATAATTTATGAAATAATTTATTAACGGTATCTTTATAGTCCAAAGAAAGCCGACGTTGCACACCCTTAAACCACACAGCAGCCATGTGGAAACTCTCAGGTCAGTCTGATCCTGATCTGCAGAGATATTTGAGCCACACACAGACACACACACACACACACACACACACACACACACACAGACACACACACACACAGACGCACACAGACACACACACACACACACACACACACAGACAGACAGACAGAGATTTCTTGCTTTAAAAGTATGCCGATGCCGATGCCGAATTAACTGTCAGCAATTCCTGTTAACAATGTTCTCATGGTTGTACGGACAAATATCAAACTTTGAAGAAGATCTCAAAACCTGATGATTCTGAGGCAAGTTGTGAAGCGTCTTTTTTATATAATTTCTAGGCCGTTTATTAGTTAATCTTGTACTGGACAAATAAAAAAAATTACTTGATAGTGCTAAATAGAAAATCAGAGGATCTCCAAACTCAATTTGATATACTGAACGGAAACCATGAATGTCTGTACCAAATTTTGCACCAATCCATCCAGTAGATTTATTTATCCTCTAGGAAGCTCAAATATCTGCATCAAATTTAATCCCAATCCATCAAGTAGTTACCAAATGTTAACCTCATGGTAGTGCTACATGAAAAGGAGATCAGCCAACTCATTAGGATTCCTCGAGGGACCATAGGTGTTTCTAAGACTGGAAAACCTAGTCACTCAATTTCCACCTTTTCCAGGATCCGTGGAAACCCTGCCAGACATGAAACACTTTACACAGCAGTCAATGGTCATCACTCATTAAGATAATATGTAATCACATCAACACTGGATTACAAACCAGGCACAGTGGACAACTGCCCTGGGGCCACAGACATCCAGGGGTCACACTGTGTGTCAGCTGATTTGTTCTTATTTAATAAAAAAAAAAATTAGGAATATAATCACATTTTCATTATTTGCCCTCAGTGCATATTCGTAAATCTTTACTCAAATGATCATTAAATTTGGGTTCAGGAAGTATTTTAGCATAAAACTGCAGACTGGGACAAACAGGGTGGGGGTTAATAGGGCCCCTGCAGCTCACTGTTGCCCAGGGCCCCTTGTAGGTTAATCCAGCCATAGTTCACCTGCTACGCTCTACCGACTGAATTTATATAATCTGACGGCCTTATAGTTGGCCTTATTCTGTTCCTCTTTCTTGGTTGTTTACCCTTTTTCGCTTCAGGAAGTAGGGGGTGGAGCTGAGATTCCTCCCTGTTGCAGCTCACCTGAGCAGGCTGGGCTCAGGAAGCTATAAATCAGACCTGCAAGTAGGGGTGGGCAATATGGGCAAAAAATAATATCTCGTTATTTTTGAGGATTTTGGTGATAACGATAATCAGTCGATATCCTTTAAAATGTGATTGGAATTGTCTGAGTTAGGGCTTGTGTCCACCAAACGCGTTTTTTAGCGCTGAGAGCTCAAAAACTCATTTTCCGAGCGCCCAGTGGTGTTAAAAGTTGAACAGATTTCAACTTGAAGCGCTCTGAGCGCTGCACTAAAAAAGTCTTTTTGAAACTAAACCATTTCCATGCCAGAGAGGTAGACCCACGTCTCGGCACTAAATCATCTGAAGTACCGGTAGCTTCAGGGAATGGAGGTGTTTGCATTTTCTCTCTACCATCACAACGCGCTGCTAAACTGTTGCAAGGAGGATGCTAGCGAGAGGTCATGTGATCACGTCATGTGATCACGTAGGCCCACTAGTCGTGTGACTGAATCCTGCCATGCTGTAGAGAGAGTTGCTGCACCGTGTATTAAGTGGATGTGAGGAGTTTCCATGTGCGTTTCAATATTTTTGGCGAAGTACTTTAAATACTCCATAATGGAAATTTGCACATCATCAAAACAACAATGACGATATTATTGCAAACGATATATATCGCCCACGTCTACCTGCAAGGCTTTCTCAATCTCTTCCCCTGGCCTGTTGCCTGAACTCTTGGTTTTTGGTTGTGTTTTTGGTTTTACGTTCATACATATACACATCACCTTTCACTCACACAGACATACTGATTTGCTGACAGACATTAAACTGTATTGATTATTTTGCATTAAATTGAGTTGACTATTCGCAGACTGTGCAGTGACCTTCATTTGTCACACACTTTTGAGCCAGGTTGTGACAAAATGGGGGCTCGTTTTTCTTTGTTTGGTAAGCTTTCAAATGTTCAGTCGAAACTTATTAGTAATTTGCTGGTAGGTTAGTATTTAGTTAGTATTTTTGTCATCTCTATTCTCTCACTTATCTGATTAGGTTAAGGTTTGGGGCTGGCTGCAGAAGAGGTTAGAGAGTGATTTTTTTTCCAGATTTAGTTTTGTATGACCCAAGTTGGTAGTCTAGTAGTATTAGAGCTACTAACAACCACTTTTGGGAGGCTGCATAGTCTAGAGTTTTGGTTACTGGTTGAGAGGAGAAGAGTTTGTGTATATAGAGGTTTGGTTAAGGTCCCTGCATAGTTTCCTTTGTTTTGGTCAGTAGTGCAGGTTGTTAGGGCTAGAGCTTTAGTGCTGTCTTGTGTAGGGCTGGAGACAGTTTTTGGTCATTTTGAGCTATGGTGACAGAGTTGATTGTTTGGGGTGCACATGTGGAAATTGGAGCTTTCATTGGTAGGATGAAGGAACGTTTCTCCTTTGGGATTTGGATTTGTTCATAAAATCATTGTAGTGTTGCAGTGAAAACAGTTAGAGCAGTTGTCTCGGTGGCACATCCCTAGACTCAAGGGGGATGCTGTTTGTGCAGAGGCCTTATAACCCACTCTAAGTAACTGCATGAAGACAAGGGTTGAGATCAGTACGTTTTTGGAGAGGCTGTTAGTGGGAAAGCTTTAATTGTATGGCATCGCAGTGATCAAAACTGGACTCTTCTGGCTAGTTTTGTTTAGTCTCCATCTGAGGAGCTTTTGAATAGTTGTACAAAAGAGCAACATTTGAAGCTTGCTGAGCATTATGATGACATTGGAGAAAAACGGTTAAAGGAGGAAATTAAAGGGTCATTGAGGGCTGCTTTAATTGAAAATGGTGTTCTGCTGGTTACTTTGCAGACTCCAAATGTCTGTGAGTCTGTGGTGTCTTCTCCAGGTTTAATCTTTGTGCAGCAAAAAGAGTTGTTGTTGTAAATGGAGAGGGATAAAATAGGTGTAGAAAAGGAACGACTACAGCAGTCTACCTAGGGAAAGTAAGATGTCAGGTAATGCTGACGCTGAGGGTCCATATGAGTCTGGTTAATCTGTATCTCAACGTTTGAAAATTTGATGTGGTGGGAGTGATGAGAGAGATCCAGGCACTTTTTTTTCTCCCCTTTAGAATGTGTCGCTAATGCTAGAGGTTGGCCTGATGCTGACCGTGTAGTGATGTTGCAATCAGTACTGACAGGCAGGGCCCAAGAAGCTTATTTAGTGCTCAGTGCAGCTGACAGCCAAGTATATTCTACTGTTAGAGGCAACTTTAAAGGCTTATGAGTTGGTACCAGAGGCCTATAGGCAGGGCCAGATTAACACTTCACTGTACCCTGGACAACAATATTCAAG